TCCCGTGGGTGCTGAGGTGCTCAGGGTTGGGGTGGTGTTCCCGTGGGTGCTGAGTGCTCAGGATTGGGGTAGTGTTTCTGTGGGTGCTGGGGTGCTCAGGGTTGGGGTGGTGTTCCCGTGGGTGCTGAGTGCTCAGGGTTGGGGTGGTGTTTCTGTGGGTGCTGAGGGCTCAGGATTGGGTCAGTGTTCCCGTGGGTGCTGAGGGCTCAGGCCAGGCTCCTCTCCCCGCAGGGTGCCTGGAGGCCCTCGCTGAGCATCTCCACCCTGCTGAGCTCCATCCAGCTGCTGATGGCAGAGCCCAACCCCGACGACCCTCTCATGGCTGACATCGTGAGTCCTCCCCATGGGCAGGGCAGGGAGGGGTTTAGGCTGAGCTTTGGATGACCACCCTGGCAGTGGATCAGGTGACCACAGGAGCTGGCCAAGGTCTCACCTTCAGGCTTTGCCTCTGGGGCAAAACGGCAGCTTGAGTTCTTCAGGCAAACCCAAGGGATCTGGTGCCTTGGGTTTGGGCTTGGCTTAGGAGCCCTAAAGCCAGGCCTAAGTCCCAGCTTCTTGATGTGCTGTGTTAAGCCTGGCTTTGTCTTGCTCTTCCCCTTCAGTCCTCAGAGTACAAGTACAACAAGCAGCTGTTCCTGCTCCGGGCCCGGGAGTGGACGGAGAGACACGCGGGGCAGGGCAGGGTGAGGCCCAGCCCCTCCTGCCCCATTTCCCTCCCAGAACTGATCCTGTGGGTCTGGCTCTGGCCTCCCCTGCTGCTCTGCCTCTCATGGGCTTTGCCTCTGTGTTTAATTCCATTATTCTTTTATTCATTTCATTAATTTCATGATGCTCTTCGTTAAGCTCATTACATTCTCCCTTCCCAATTAAATGTGCTCCCTCACTAATGAGGAGGGGGAGGGATGGACAAAAACCATTCCCTGGGGATCCTCTTCTTCCTCAGCTCTGCTCTGTGTCCTGCAGCTCTTTTCCACCTGCTCTTCCACTCAATATTCCCTTGGGAATGCAGCCTTCTTCCCTCCTCCTCTTCCCTCTTTCTCTCATCCTCACTTGAAAAAATAAATCCCACTCCAGCAGATCCAAACCTTCCCAAAAATCACTTCCCTCTGGGCCTTTCCTCACCTGAGGGACCTTTCCCTCTCTGCCCCTGATTTGGAGAACACCCTTTGTGGGAGGGGGGTGTCTCCCCTGTGGGAATCCTGGGAGCTGTGCTCAGCATTCCAGCCCTGAGCCCATTCCCAAGGGAACTGTGGTGGCATGGGAAGGGAAGGGCATGGGATGAAGAGATCCCTGGAGCATCATGGCAGTGCTGTGCTCCATTGTTATCCTGCTCCCCTGCCATCCCCCTTCCTACAAATCCCGGGATAACGAAGTTGGTGAAGCACAGGGCATTCCAAGGGCTGGAAAATCCAATTATTCACAGCTCTCTGCTTTTATTGCTTGGGTCATCACAGGCTCCCGAGCCTTTGGAAGAGAAAAGCACCCAGGGGGAAAGGAGCCCCAGCAGTGAGTCCTCTGGGCAGAAGAGGAAAGGGAGCAACATCAGCAGGAAGGAGAAGAAATCCTGCCCAGATTCCTGATTCCTGAGGGGGTTTTGTTCCCTTGGGATTGTCCCTGTCCCCTTCCTCAGGTACGAGGTGTCCTGCCTGTAAAGGGCTGCAGCAGTTTGGGTTTTGCTGTTTCTGTGTTTGTTTGAGATTTTCTTTTTGTGAAAACTTTTCATTGTATTAATAAAATCTGAAGCTTTAATTTATATGTTTTCCCCTTTTGTTGGGTGGAGTTTTTGGGATGTTCCAAAGAAAACTGGAAACACCTCTTTCCCTTCCCAGCTTTCAGAGAAGTGGGAATAGCACCAGGGAGTTCAGTTCCTGTTTCCAACCTGAGAGCAGGAGCTGGATCCGAACCAGCTGGTGGGAATCCTTCCCTGGGGAAGGCTCGGTTTTCCATGGAAGTTTAATGACGCCAGCCTTGCAATTCCAGCTCTCTGGAGCGGCCCTTGGGCTCCAGTTGGGGCCATTTGGGGTGACCTGGATGGTGACTCTGCTCTGTGGTGGCCCCAGGAGGTGTCACCGGGGACAAGCCCTGGCCCAGGGGGAGGAGGAGAATCCAGAGGATTCCTGGGGGTCTGGGAATGGGTGGATGTGGAGGAGGGAGCAGGATGTCAGGGTGAGGAGCATGGGAGCATCGGGATGAGTGTGGGGGGATCCAGAGGGGGGAGGGCTGATGGCAGATGCCTGCAGGGAATTTCCCCCGTCCTGTCCCTGCTCCCAGAAAACCGCAAACCAGGCCCATCCCTGGAGCAGGGACAGGAGTGGGCGAGGCTGGGAAGGGCTGGGGGCTGGAGCAGAGTTCTTCCCAGCCAGGACAGGCCGGTCCCTGACTGCTCCCGAGCTCCCAGTGTGTCCGTGTCCCATCAGTCGAAGTTGTAGTAGAGGCAGAGGGAGAAGAACATGGCAAAGGTCTGGGGGGAGGGAGGGGGCGGCAGGTGAG